AGGAAATACGTATCATGTGAACATTAAAGAAAAGCTGATAAAGTAGACTACAAGCAAGGAAAATGAACAGAGATAGGGAGAGATACTATATATAATAAAATAGTCAGTCCACTAAGAAGACACTCGTGTGCCCTAAGCAATAGAACTACAAAATTTATGAAGCAAGAACTAATAAAACTGAAAACAGAAAAATCTATGATTACATAGACTTCAGTAAAACTCCTTCAACAATCAGTAGAACAATTAGAAAGTTATCAAGATATAAAAAGCCCAAATAACACCACAATTAAGATTTATAGAACATTCTGTCCAAAAGCATCAAAATACACATTCTTTTCAATCACCTAAGGAACATTCACGAGGATAAATCAGATTTTTTTTTCCATTAAATGAACCTCAGCAAATTAAGGGAACTGAACTCTAACAGAGTGTGTTCTCTGTTCTTAGCAGAATTAAACCAGAAATCAATAACAGAAATATAACAGAAAATCTCCAAACACTTAGAGACCAAACATTACTCTACATGATCCATGCACCAAAGGAAAGGGGAAGAAAAACTTTCAAATACATTGAATTAGAATATTCATTGAACTAAATGAAAGTGAAAATACACAAACATGAAAACATTTGTGGAGCACTAAAAGAGTGCTGAGAGGAGAAATTGGTCACACTAAATGTTTTCACTGAAAAAGAGGAAAAGTCTAAAGTTGATGATATAAGCTCCCACTTCAAGAATTCAGAAAAATAAGAGCAAAATGAACCCAAAGTAAGAAGGAAATAATAAAAGATAAGAGTACAAATGAATAAAATAAAAAACAAAGCCAAATTGAAACAGAAACAGAAAAGCTAGGAGCAGGAGTGAAAGACACTAGACTGATGATGTAAATGCTAACGTCAGGTCTGTTGATCAGTTTTCTGTTGTTATTACAAAACACCTGAGATAACTTAAAAAGAGGAACAGTTTAGTTTGGTTCACACTTTCAGAGTTTCAGGTCATGGTCTGTTGGCTCCATTGTTTTTGGACCTGTGGTGAGGTGAGGAGAGCATATGGTAAAGTAAAGCTGCCTCGCCTCATGGTGTCATGGTAGCCAGAAGAGAGAGAGAGAGAGAGAAAGAGAGAGAGAGAGAAATTCCCTCAAGGGCATGGCCTCCCACTTGGCTCCACCTCTTAAAAGTTCCACTACTTTCCAATAGTGCCACAGGCTGGGAACAAACCTTTAACACACAGCCTTTAGGGGATACTTAAGATTCAACCACATCAGGAATGAAACAGGGCCTATCACTGCAGAGAAACCCTGCAACACACCAGGCCTGCAGTCATGTGACTGATTCCTACCAATGGAATGTGAGGGAGGTAATGTCCACTACGTTCCTAATACTTTCTACTTTCTTTCTTTCTTTCTTTCTTTCTTTTGTGGTAGGATCTCACTGTACAGCCCAGGCTGGCCTTGAATAACAATCCTCCTGCCTCTGCCTCCGTAGCACTGGGATTATAAGCACACACCACCACACCCAGCTTTCATAATACTTTGCTTAAAAGAAATCACTAGCCCTCCATTCCCCTCCCCTTTTCATGAGCTGTACATAGTGAAGTTGGGGAGCCAGTTTTGACCATGCAGATAAAGGAAGCATCCCAGGACATGGGCAAGCCATGATACAGAAAGAGGGTGACCCTTGACCGGTCTTATGAGGCAGAGCTGCCCCTGGACTTGCACAGTTTGGGTCACTTGTTTGGGTCACTGCATATTTGATTCTCTTTGTTCAGAAGCTTCACCTGTACTCAAGCTAATTTACCCAGGATTGGGCTTACATCTTTGGGGACTTATCTAGAAGCAAGGAATTGTGGGCCACTCCCATCTTCTGACCATGGAAGGTATTTTCCGAGGCCTCCGTCAACCCTTGGGGTCCTCTGTCACCTGTCCATACATAAGGTCAGCCTTGAACCAGTCTTCATGGTGTTTGTCTACCTGATCTACCTGACCTATTTGCATCAGCAACTTTCCCACTGCTCCTCACTGTTCCTGGGGCACAGGCCTCCTCCTACCACACGGAGCCATGCTGGGCCCAGAATCTCCACAACACTGCTTAAGGCCCCACAGTCACTATCTGACCCCTCTTTGTCTTGAGTGTCATGCCTACCTCTGAGATTCAGCACATATCACCTGTGTACCCATCATTTCTTCCTGTCCCATTGTTTTCCCCTTATTGGCTGTCTGTCAGATAGCCAACACCCTCTCCTCAAAGGGTACAGTCAGTGAAGAGGGGCTCACTGTTCCTAGCAGTGAGTGCATGGTGGGGGAAGGGAGGAGGAACCCAAGAGGAGAAAGGTATATTAATAGATTAGATGACGTCACCATTGTCATTGCTGCCATTCTCTTTTCATGGCAGTGACAGTTTTCACCTGCAGAGATGGGGCAGGGTCCAGGACACCTGAGTAATTACTTGAATAAGAAGTGTGAACTCTGCAATGAACACAAAACCTAAAGCTTCTTTTTACAGAGTACCTTTTGGGGTGAAGGCATGACCCCAGGACCCAGTCCTTTGCTGTGGCATTGGGGAAGTTATGGAAACTCAAGGAAAGAGTTTCAGAGACAAGACAAACTCAGAGGAGGCTGGTAGGTACAAACAGTCTAAAATGAGAATGCAGAGTGGGGATCTGCCTTCATTTGAGTTCTGGCTACGTTATTGCCATCTTGAGTCTCACTGAGCTTCAGTTTTCTCATCAACAAAGAAGGGAACAATAACACCTACCCTTCCTATTTTGTAATTCAGAAGAATGAAGTGGTCTTTGGACAAATACTTTGGAAGTGGTAAGGACAGTGCACACACAGGCATTATTATTATCATTCTACAGAACAATGAAATTTAGGGAATGGGGGCTTAGATTGGGTGGGGATAGCCTTCCAGCAGGTGGACAGGCCCAAGTAAAGCAGGCCTTTGATGATGAACGTTAGAGAGAGCAGAGCCCAGGTGGGTGGTGTTGAGGGAGGGAGCTGCTAAGAGTGTGTTGGACTGGATTTGCCAAAGCCCTACCAATGAGTTAGGTCATCTTGTTGGAGAAGATGGAAGGGAGCCATTGCAGGATCTTGAGCGGGGGTGACTCCTGAAGGAGATAGAGAGGGAGCAAAAGTGATTCATAGACTCTGAAGGTTGTTTTAATTGGTAAGGCTGGGCCTTTTCTAGCTATAGTTAGCCCCTCTAATCTGTTCTTGATTTCTATGGGCAGACCTGCTTCCTCCTCTGGTTAACCCTGCTGGACTATATCTGTTTGGCAGCAGTTGTACCAGCTCAGACCCTTCTGGAATCATTCATGGTTTCCTCTTATACTCCCGGATCCCCAGCCCACAGAGGTCTCTCTCTTCTTGGGGCTTTGGCTTTGTTTGCCCTACTTACCAGGCTCTGTTCGTGGAAGACAGTGACTCTCAGCCTTAGCTGCTCCTTTGAATGACCTGGTGATTGGTTTTTAAAATGTCCCCATGCTCCAGTTGTAGCTCAGATCTATAGTACTGTCACCTCTGGGAGAGGAGGTGACAGGTTTTGGGATGGTTTCTTAGTTTCCCAGGTAATTCCAGTATCACACTGGGTTTTGAGATCCACAGCCCATCTCTGTTAATTGAGCATCCTGTCTGGCAATTAGTACTTCCATGTGTACACTGTGCACACCTGGACTGCATCAGGGTGCAGGAAAGAAGCATGAGGATGTCATGCTTATAGATATTTTCAGTCCCATTCTTGTTTGATGTGCGAGTTCTGTAATGAACTTGCTGTGGTGGATCGGTGGTAATGGTAAGAGCTGATGGTGGCACTTGAACACTTGCTGTTACCAGGCACACATCAAAGCACTTTTCACAAAATGCTTAGCACTTCACAGAAACCAGATGAGGTGGGTGCTGTTACTAACCCCACATTATACATGAAGGATCTGAGGCAGGCCAGAGAGGTTGAATAGCTGGCTCAAGGTCATACTGCTAGAAAGCAGCCATGACAAGATTCAAAGCAGCTTTTTATCCACAATGCTGACCAACTCTCACAGTACACAGGTATTTATTATTTAAAATAAACAATCTAAAACTAAGATTCAGATATCAGGGGAACTGTTACAGCATGTTTTATCAATATGGTTCCACAATCAAATAAACTACAGTGGCCTCTGTTTTTCGTTCCTTCCATCCAGGGGCTGGCAGGCATGTGGGTGCTCACAGATGCCCAATAAAACATGGCTCCCTCCTGGAAACATCTGCTGAACAATTCTTGGCTAATGTTTATTAGTTCTTGTCACATTCTACTGATTCTTCATGACAATCCTGTGAGGCTGTGTCACACACAATTTGCAAAAAAGACACACAGTACTAAGAAACTTGCTGGAATCCAGAGCCTGCATACCTCACAGGGCCCCTCTGTGAGCAGGAAACGGATCAGGAAGGAAGGGGTGCGGCTGGATTCTGAAACACTCCAAGGGAGGCAGAGGGTGGACCGTTCATGTCTTCCAGGAGGTTCCTTTTGCCGGGAGGACCCTTTTCTGTTTGCCTGGCAGGCAAACTCCTACCTTTGCTCCAGGTCAAAGGCACCTCCTCTGAAAAGCCTGTTGCTGTTAGTTACACCTGCCCGGTGTTCAGACTTCATCTTCTCCATTGCACTTGGAGCTCCTGAGGGTTAGGGATGGGTGCTGCTCAAGGGACTTCTGCAAAGTCAGTCCCACAAACTTACAGCCGTGGGCTCAGCCTGTGTCTGCCTTTCTTCTCAGACTAGGGGCGCCTCACTCCCAGAGCTTTTCCTCCGTGGGCTCCGCTTCCCTTTCCTCCTCTTCTCCCACTTCCTCCCTCTCCATCCTCCCACCTGTCCTCTCCTCCTCATCCTCTTGTCTTCCTCCCCCGCCCTCAGCGTTCCTTTCCCTGCCCGGCAGCTGCAGTTCCCCCCGAGGCCGACAGAGGGCGCTCGGGACGGCTCGGCCGCGCCCCTTGGGCGCGCGCTTCCTGTGAGGTCAGGTGGGAGGAAGCTGCCCGAGCCGCCCGGGTGGACGCCGCCGAGGCCCGCGAGTCGCGCGCGCAGGTGGGTGTCTGAGCCGGGGGAGGTGCGGGGATGGGCGGCATCCGTCCTCGCACGGTCGCTCTCGTCCGCCTAGGGACTGCTCAGGTCCACAGGCTGCGGCAGTGCGGCCGGCCAGCGCCCCGGCGCAGCCCCCCACCCACCGCGTCGGGTGCACCGAGGGCCGCGCGCCTTTGGCCCACCCAGCGGGGGGCGGATGACAGAGCACAAAGACACGGGGGAGGACCAGGACCCTCCTTGCATGACCCGGGCCAGCAGCCTTCAACCTGGGGTCTCACCTGTGCCAGGCTCCGGCAAGAGAACTGGGACTCTCAACCCCTTTGGCGGGGGGTGATGGCGGGGGAACCTGAGCGCTTTTGACAATTCAGATGAAAACTGTGGCGCATCTCCCGAGGAAGCAGGGCCTTCACACAGTCTCTGGGGGAGAGGCGTGGAGGATCCTCAGACTACGGGCGCCCTTGGGGTCCGCAAAGCGACCTCCCGCATTCCGCACCGCGTATTTTGGGCTCTGTCCTCTTAGAAAGGGACGCACTGGCGTTACCAGAGACGCCAGGGACAGGTCGGGGGCGTGCCCTCTGTCACCAAGGTCCGCCCTCCCAGGCCATGGCGATGGGGAGCCCAGCGCAGCCCGAGTGCAGGGGATTTAAAGGGGCCTGAATAGCCTGGGAGGGTCCTGGAGGAAGAAGATCCAGGTCTTTGGCATTTACTTCGTGGGGGAGCAGCGCTTGGAACTAATTTTTCAGCTCCAGGGGAATTGAGAGGCTGGAGATCCGTGTGTTCTGGACTCCCTATTTAGAGAGGCCCTAGAGCCAGGGTTCCTACCCCGTGAACTTTGCACCTGTGCGTGGCTGTGCCTACCTCACAGGGCTGGCCAGGCCTGGGTCAGGTGAGCCTGCGCTTCCCTGGTGCCTGGGCACTGAAAGGGTTTCATCCCAGCTGTGCTGCTGGTGGTTAGTTGTCAAAGTTCATCTTCAGTGACCCTTTCTATGGTTTTCCTAGTGCACTCCGGGTCTGCAAGATTTTTGTCCCACAAACAGCTGTTCCCCTGTTGATCAGACACAGTACCTCCCAGGGTGGGTCATGTGAACACTGTTGAAAGCAGCTCTCTTAGTCCCTGGAGGTTGCTTCCTCCAGGCTGTCTGTCTTCAGGGCAAGAATGGTCCATAGGCCTCAGATCCTAGCCAGAGGTCACTGAGCTGTTGGAGGAGGAGAACTCTGGGCCACCTGGCTTCTTCCTTCAGCCCCCGCCCCCTCCCCACCTGACCATCCATTTGCAGGTGCAGCCCATCAAGGACCTGCTGCTTTGGGAGGGAAGAATGGTGCGGATCTTGGCCAATGGGGAAATCGTTCAGGATGATGATCCCCGAGTGAGAACCACTACCGCACAGAGAGCTAGCGCTCCTCGGCAGGTAGGCATCCCTCCTGAGGGGAAGGAACACAGCTGGCCTCCATCTGGTTACCTCAGTTCCCAGAAGTCTCTCTTGGGGTCATTAGTCTTTTATAGCTTTTGTAGAGAGCAGAGCTAGGGGCAGAGGGTCAAAAGAATTGGAGATAATGCAGTGGATTTATTGTCTGGCCCCTTCCTTTCCAGTCTCCCTCCTCCAGGCAACCTCCCAGACTTCCAGCCCTGGGGCTCTCTCTCCTTTAACCTGGTTAGGGAACGCCACTGGATCCACCATCTTTTTGAGTCTTTTGGATGAGCAAGGAGCCTCAAGTGTGGAGGAGAGAAGCATGTGGTCTTAGAACACTTTAAAGAAAGCAGTGCCCACTGTTAACAATGCCTGCCTAGTCCACGCTGCTGCTTCTGCTGCCATCACTTTCTCTCCCTTCTGTCCTGGGCACCTGCTCCTTGGGTATAACGTGGGAAATATAGACTGGCATTTTCTGTGCTCTGAGAGTTTGTGACTCAGTTGTTGGGATTCTTGTGGGTGGCATCCTGGGAAGGAGGGAATAGCCCAGGGTGGCCATGGGGAGGACAGGGTCTTGGGCTGGAGCTTCCTCCTGGCTGGTGCCTTAACTACAGGGAATTTTTCCTCTGGATTCATTTGTCCCTCTGTCTTTACTTTCCAGGGCTTTCTCAACAGGGGTCATGGTGCCCCCCAAGGGGGCCCTGGGCCCCGTCAGCAGCAGGCGGGTGCCAGGCTGGGTGCTGCCCAGTCCCCCTTCAATGACCTCAACCGACAGCTGGTGAACATGGGCTTCCCTCAGTGGCATCTCGGCAACCATGCTGTGGAGCCGGTGACTTCCATCCTGTTGCTCTTCCTGCTCATGATGCTTGGGGTTCGAGGTCTCCTGCTGGTGGGCCTCGTCTACCTGGTGTCCCACCTGAGCCAGCGGTGACCTCCGGGGCTGATGGGGTGGGCTTGTTGAGAGGGACTTGCTGGGACTGGTGTGAGAGCAGGCACATGGGGAGGGAGCTGGGGGTGCCTAAAGGTGTGAGTAGAGAAGGGGCCACGGGTGTGGGTTCCCCCACTGTGTTAAGCATGAGGCAGAGGGAGACTCTAGTCCAGCATTCCCAAAGTATGGGGTCGGGGGTGGGTACCCTGGTTCTCCTAAGCTGTTTTCTGGTGGTATAGGGCCTCCATTAAGAGACACAAGACCAGAATTAGAAAAGTGTTTTTCCAATTCTCTTTAATCTTTTATGCCAAGAAGAAAGTCTCAACTTGGTGCCAGTGTGTTGTACTGCCTCCAGAGCACAAGCTGACTCCCCTGCCAGGAGCAGGACTGGGGCAGAGGGCAGTGGGATATGTTTCCAGATTTTTATAGCACGGTTTTGTTTTAATGGTGTATTTTTATTGGCTATCTTTTATTTATGTCAAGGGGTACTGGCATTCTGTTCCTTGTGACATTTTCAATAAATAGATTTCAGTAGAAATGAGTCCATGTAAGAAGGTTGGTAAATGATCCTACAACTGCACACAGGTCTGGATGACATGGTGAGGGTGGTTTGGGAGTGGTTGGTTGGGTTCAGGCAGCAGGTCAGGCAGCCGCAGGCTGGTGGGTCCTGAGATTTTCCCAGTAGGACTTGGGAATTGGAGGGGAGGTGCAGGTCTAAGCTGGGACCCCTTGCCCAGTGCTTTGGTAATGTCTGTGCTCATGGTGGGTTGGATTTGAAGATCGACTCTGTGGGGAGGGGTCCTCTGGTCAGAATGACTGGTGAGGCTGTAGGGTTGGGGTGCAGGTTCCAGATCTCCTCTTGGAAGTCCTAGCTGCAGTATACTGGCAGTTGTGGGGGAGGTGAGAGGGGCCCCAGGTCTGCATGGAGGCCCTGCCAGTGGAGGTGCTGAATGGCTGTGGCTCTGGAGACTTGAGGGTAGTAGGTCAGATACATGGTGGTGACCCTGAGGACTGTGCCTGCCCCACCACTGGGCACTTCACTCTGTTAGGCCTTTCAGGGTTGGTCATCTGGGAAAGGAAGGCATGAGTTGAAGTGGCTAGGGTTGGGGGAGGATGAAGGAGAGGCACAGATGACATTGTTCTCCTGGGCTGGCTACACTGCCCAGAACAACTTCTCCTCACAGGCTTTTTTTGTCCACTGCTGCCCATGTGGGGGCTAGTGGCCTTTATCCCAGACATTCCATTCCTGGGGAGATTTGTGATATTGGAACAGGACTCCATTCTCAAAGAATGTTTTCTGTGTCTGTATTTCTTGGCAGTGATTGGGACGTGTTGTCCCCTTTATGATGGGGATGGAGAGAAGGGAGTGCTGGGCCCTTCTTGAGGTGAGGCCTGGTTCTCAGCAGGCATTGTAGGGTCTGGGCAAGGGGAGTCTGTTGCTCAGCCATGACTGGTGTTCTAGCTGTTCATTGGCCATCTCTTGCCTTGGCCCCCAAGCTTCTATTGCTCCAGCCCAGCCAGTCATAGGAACTTCCTGCCCAGCATTCTGCTCCCCCTAGACTCATTCTCTTCTCAGTGGGTCTTTGAGGCTGGAGTCCTCTTTCATCTTCCCTTTTCAGAACTGTGGGGCTCTCAACATATAACATAGCTCTGGTGGTGTGAACCCTTCTTTGAGTAGCATGGCTTCCCTGTTTTCCTGAGTTATGGGTTTGCTGACCCCTGCTATGCCTCACTTCTAGGGCCAGGGATTGCAATGCTAAGATGACCTGACCCTGACCCAGGCAGAGGCAGCAAAGTGCTGGGGTTGTATAGCCACATGGTTGTGAGCTGTAGAGCTGAGGCCCCCTGAACTGGCTGAAATTGTGAGTAGGACTGTGTTCCATAGCAGGTGGGCTCTCTGCTCCAGTTGCTGTGGGTAGATCTTCTTGGGATGCCCCTTGTGTGGTTGGTACACTCCTCCAACACCACTGTGTAACAGGACTCCCCTGGTCCCAGATTGGGCCACCTTGCAGGTTCTAAGCCTACCAGGAAGGCAGAATTCCAGGGAGGTTTCTGTCATCTTCAGGGCTAAGCCTTGAAGTCCTGTCCATGGTGGCTTGGATTTGCAGCCCGGCTACCTGAGTAGAGCTCCCACTGCTTTCAATTGGATGATCTATCAGTTCTTCACAGAGCTAGAAAGGGCTACCTAGTGAGGGGAGCCAGACAGGACTTATGTTTCTTCCTGCTCCCATCTCCTAGGACAAGCGGCTTTCTAGGCCCTTCCCTACACAAGCTAGAAGCAATGACTCTACAGAGCTACCTCTCTCTACCCTCCAGCTGACCCTGGATGTGGGGACCACATACCCAACTCCCCAGGGAGAAATCATGCCTGAGATCCAATGAAATAGTGACTCCAGTTTTGCCAGTTCCCCATGGAGCCCTCTTCTGGATGCTCAGACCAGAACCAGGGCCTTTTGGTGTAGACAAGCGCTGGGCTCCCTAACTGGGAACTCGGATTCCCTAACTGGGGATCCCAGCTCCCAGGCCCAAGAGGAGTCCTGTCCACTTGGATGCCTGGCCTTGAGAATAGGGGAGGAAAGTGGCCCATGCCTGTGGCCATCTGGGCTACAGAGGCCCCTGCTCTGCTCTCTGTTGACCCATGACCTTGGACAGTTTACTTAGCTTCCTGAGTTCTTCACTATGAATAGATGGTGATCTGGGCTCTACCAACCTCTAGGATCCTCTGGACATCACCTCAGGTCATGGTGGCCAAGAAGGGACCAAGGGCCATGGAAAGGGTGGAGTCTTCTCTGCAGATGTTGCACATTGGACCACAGCTCCTGTGCCTGAGACTTTGGCCCCAGAGTGGCCACCATGTCCCAGGCACCCTGGACCCTCTGGCTAGGTTGGTGTTAGGCTTTTGAGACCCTCCTCAGCTCTTAGGGAAGCCTACAGTTGCCTCTGAGTTCCTGGAGGCTGAGGGGCTTGTCACAGGTCTTGAGCTGTAGTACTGAAAGATGCTGGCTGAGATGAGTGGGGTACCTGGCCCTGTTTAAGCCCTTTATCCTTCTTAATTGCCACTAGAACCTATGACTGAGACTAAACAGGCCTGTAGCACCCTCTGGACCACTCCTCCATTCACCTCTGGCTAAACCCACATGTACATCTCCTAGAGCCCTATTACAGAGAGATTGCCAGGCTGCACCACTGGCTGACTGTCAGGTTAGCTCTATGAGGTTGCTGGCTCCGAGGTGGGTGCAATAGCTTTTCAGCTCAGCTAGATGCAGTCATGAATGGGGCTGCAAGTTCTTCCCTACATTTCTAACTGTATGACATTTCCACTACAAACTGATAAGGGGAGAAATCCAGTTACCTCTCAGAGGATCCAGTGATGGTGGGGGGGAGCAAAGGGCTCTGTGGCCAAAACTAGATGGAGAGAGAACCTGCAGCCATCTATCAGGGCATAATGGGGAAGAAGCAAGTATGCCCCTCCTTGTGTTGCACCCAAGGCCTAAAGAAGTTCAAGAAGCAGAAGCAGATGGTGACAGCTGCAGTGCACTGCTGAGGGAGTGGGAGAGAGTGTTGGTGTGTCTTTGATCCTCTGGTTCGGGGGTGGGGAAGCTGAAACCAGATGGCTTTAGAGACCCAGAGCTTGGAAGGAGCCCCTCAAGATGAAGCTTGGCAGCCACTTTACAGCACCTGTCTCAAGTTCCCCAGGTGCACAGGGGTGGCATGGGTCCAGAGCAGAGGGCTGGCCCGAGTTTACCCTGCCACCAGCTTTGTTCTACATGTGCAGGAGCCCTGCTGGAGGCAAAGTATGGGCTTCCAATTCCCAACTCCAACTCCTGTCAATCAGTGACCATGGGCATCTCCATGTCGCTGAACCCCACACTCTTCATCTGTATCTCCCAGGTGGGAGGATCAAGTACATAGTACATAGTTCACCGGAAGCACTTAGCACAGTTTCTGGCTCCAGGTCAGCGCTTGATCATGTTGCCATATTCATAAAGCAATGTCATCAGGATTTACTTAACTTTATTTTAATACCAAATGACATTTAAGTTAATTTTAAAAAGGAAGTCTCATATTGCTCTTGTAGATGGAAGGCCAGCATTACTTGCTGTACATAGTAGATATCTGCACAAGTAAATCCGGTGTACAGAAATCAGCATTTTTCCACTGTAGCTGGACACTGCGGCCATCAAGGCCTTCAGCCTGATGTGGACACTGCTTTCCTTATTAAAGTCAGCTCATAAGGCTTAGAGGAGGGTTGAAACTCTCTAGCACTTTAACCAGCACTCTTGGATGGAGTCAGAGGCCTGGAAAGAACGGGAAGGGACTGGCTTTCTCCATTACAATTCAACGCCTTTGTGAGTTGTCTTCTGTCACCTCCTGCCCCTCCACGAGGACTTCATACTCTGTCAAGTAACAACATCCCAGCTGTGGGAAACACCGCATGACCTTGGCAAGCTCTTTTCTAGAGTTTAGTCTGTGCGAGGTAACACGCATGTGCAGTATGCACCTGCCTGCAAAGAAAAGTCTCGCTCTCTGCCCTGTCCCCACACCTGCCTCTCCATTCACCGGAGAACTGGTGTCTTTTAAGTCTTTCTGGAATTGAGTTATGTAAATATGAGCACACACATATTCTAGTTTTTCCTGTTGTCTAGAGGTGATGGAAGATTAAGACACATATCCTGCCCCTTGCTTTTTTTCTTCGCATATGTCCTGGGCACATTTTAACATAATAAAATAGTATCATGGCCATTGCTTTGAGTCGTGATCCTCTTTTGGCCTCAACAGAGTCATGTGTACTGGAGGGAGAGAGTGTTGTCCCTGCAGCTCTGACCCTGAACCTTCCTGGGGTGGATCCTGGAGGAAATGACTGCTTCTCTGAGGCCTGAGGAAAATCCATGGAGGTTCTGGGCCCTAAGTCAGTCCTACAAACATTTTAGGAAGCCTCTCCTAAAAAAAGTTGAGGGAGAAGCAACAGTGGAAGCCACAACCCACTTGATGTTATTAGCAGCTGAATAGGATAGGATTTCAGCCTTCACCTGGCCCAGCAAGGTCA